GAGCACGCCGACGATGGCGACTTTGAGGAGCACAGCGCCTCGCACGGGACACCGGCTCAGGCTGGAACGCCTTTAGCCGTGGAGGATGGGGCTGGCGTGCCGGTTCCGGAGCACGTGTCTGATGACCAGCTTGCTGCAGAATTGCAGCCTGGCCACATCGACGACTATCTCTTGCGCTTCATGGAGTGGAACATGAAGGATGAACCCCTGGTTCTGCCGGCGGATAAAAGCAAGAAAAGGTCCAAGAAGGGCAAGGAGCACCATCTCAAGAGGCGTCGTTAGAGTTATTGCGAGATCAATGCTCATTTGCCTCCTTTTTGGCTCCACTCTGCATGTTTCACGTTTCAATATTTCCCTCACGTTAACCTGTTTGTCTCTCCGGCTATCAGCTTGTTGTAATAGTCTCTGTGTGTATAATCCAGGCGTTGGCGATGTTATAATGTTTTATCATTGTCTTTTTTCTCCTGATCAGCTGTCCTTTTTCGTGACTTTTAACTCTCTCCTTTTCTTCTGCTCTACTATTTTTTTTCCCCATTCTCTGTGTTAATCCTACTATGTTAACAAAAGACTCAATAGAATCAGTTAGCAGAAATAATCGTCACAAATTACTTTCAAATCAATAGTCTATTTCCCGGAGATTAGACAAGTGGAGCAGAAATCCCTCCTGGGTCAGCATAGGCAGATCATTTTGTTCTAACCATATAAACCTTGGATATCCCGGAGGCGATTAGGGTTTAGCTCGGTGTTTATATTAATATCAATAGTGTGAGAGCCGGGGAATTGTCTATTGTATTATAGATTGTGGTGGAGTAGAGAAACGGGATGCAACAATACTCCGTCGTCAATAGTGCATATGGTCTCCTATGTTGTACCTCGGAAATGTTAAGAGTGTAGATCGAGGATGTAGATGTGAATGTATATTGTGGTACAATGATAATGTACTCCATATATGCATCCACAGATCTATCAAGTTGAAGAGAACAAGGTCATCTATGGAACATAAATAGGGTTTCCCCTATTCTCCCGTCTGATATTTTCCTCCAACGAGGGCGCATGGCCCGGTCGATCCCCCTCAAAGCCAAGTCACACCTATCTCGGCAAGGTTTCTCCGAACAAGGATAATATTGAACAAGAGCGACCGCGTGGTTGAAGGCAGCCATGGAAAGCAGGAAGTGGAGCCTCATTCGGCAGTTAAGGGATACATCTCGGATACGATTACTTTTTGCACATCTCAACGGAAGTGAAACAGTGATACAAGGTTGAGAATGTTGCCGAGTATTCCCCGGTTGCGGACGTTGATTTGACGTGATTTCACGTGTTGGAGTCCTTGGACTCGTTGGAGTCGGGCTCCACTGATCTTCTCTCCAAAAGTCTCCCGAACTCGGAATGGAATTGGCAACTGTAGGGCTTTCGAGCTCCGTACTCTATTAAGCTTTGGAAATTGCCTCGTTGGAGGTGCAGCAGATCCACGGTGATCCGGGGATCTGTGATTTAGTACATCCTAAACCTGATATATCCCTGTCATCCGGATTAGGTGATTGGTACTTTGAAATGCCGTAGATCGAGATATATGGCATTTCGTTATTGGACGGGGAAGAGGAATAGAAAAAAAACAAAACAAAGAGAATCAGATGAAAATATGCCATGCTTTTACAGGGCCCAGAACCCAGCGAGGTATTTCAAGCAGCATTTTCTTTGTACAGCATAGGGAGGAGGCGGCTGTAGACACGTCAAAGAAGTGATCGCCATTTTTAGCTCGCGGGTGAGCAAATGCCGATGTATCCCTGTGTTGGATCTGGTCTTATTGCCCAGTTTGGGAAGGTAGTATTGAATATATCATAAAACAAAGAAATGATTTCTCGTACCCAGGAGACTTCTAGTCGGCATTTCTCCATGGATTCTCATTTCCGAGGGATAAGAAACTCCCATGGGTCAAGGAGAAGTCCTGAACCAACAGCCGAAGCCGGATATCTGCAGTTCGAGAGAGATGGACATGACATATGCAGGTCGAAGAACGCAAGTGATGATTGGCACAGACTCGTGGGACTTTTCATGCAGCTCGGGCCCGTGCATTTTTTGATCCTCGTCACGTCAAAATGTCTCTCATATTCTCTCAGTCTCACGATTAGATGTAATAGTGCCATGGGAGATCCCGTCTAAGGGGGAGAAACCCAGGATGGCACCAACATGGAGCCCAATATTCCACTATGTATTGAGGACCCGGGAAGATCGTCGCCGATCAATTTGCCAGATCGATAGGCGCTTGCACGAACTGGTACTCCACGGGCGTCAAATCATTGGTGTGAGGCGAGAGGGGCTTTACACTAGTTCTGACACCATGTGCCTTAGCGGATTCACCTCCGGCCGTAAAAAAAGAAAGCGCTGCTGCCTTGGGATCTGGGGGAGGAGATACGTTCGAATAGTGTTGGATTTGAATGATGTGATAATCTCGCTCTCCTCGAAATGAATTTGCAGCACATGGGTTCTAATTCACAAAGGATTTGAAGTTCTCAACGGCGCTGCCTTTGGATAAGACATCTGGTGTAGAAATGTAATCGTCAGTCCGTCTATGGAGAATCCCGAGGTGGCGGTGATCGGCGACCATGAGGTCCAAGACGCCATCCGCGGGTGAGAGGAGGGCTTATCTGGTTTGGAGTATATGACCGTATTAGGATAAAACTGGGGCCGGCTAGGGCCCCAATGCACAGTAAATCACTCCTGGGGAACTATAGGCCGTGTTGTCTTTGCATAACCGTTGCGTTGGGATTTCCCCCCTCGATTATCGTCGGACATGATCGGGCCAAGTCAACCAGGATAGCATATGTATTTGTGTATCTTCTCGATAGATCGAATGTTGGAATAAAGAAAAAACCACACCACAGTCAGCTCTGTACGGAGTACACCGTAGAGACTGAGGTGATTCATCGAATTCCGATATCCGCTTTGTTCAAACGCGCCAAGCACTCAACTGGGGATAGTCAGACATAACAGATGAGCTGTTCCGCTTGGATGATGTGATCCACTCGAAGTAATGACATCGCCCTGATCGTCGAGACCCGTAACCAATGATGTGTGCGCTGCGAATCTCGTTGATGATCGCCGCGTGCTGGACGCCACGGACGCTAAGACCCAATGGATTTCCCCCAAGAGATTGTGTGTTTTAGGGTTCCATAATGACAGAACCAAGACAATGGAGATGTGGAGGTGAGAGGTGGTGAGAGGGAAGCGGGTGAAGTTGGGAGATGACCTTATATTTTAATGTTTTATTTTATTTCCCCCTAAGCTATATCCCCCATTTCTACATATAATACTTGTCTCGCCCGTTTCCTGTCTCTTTTCTGTTGATCATCTCGATCTTCGTACTATTCCCCCCCTTTTCCACTTCCCAATTGGACTGTGCGTCAATAATGAAGACCTCTATCTCGTCCGAGGTATGGGAGAAGAAGAAGGCGTTGATCTCCAAGTTGTATATGGAAGATGAATGGCCCTTGAAGCAGGTCATCAAGCAGATCCGCACCGACGATTTCAATCCCAGGTGAGTGCATGATGTCTATGTCCATTCCATGTCCGATACCGGACTCTATCATGAATTAGTTAACTAACATCTCTAGTGAAACCCAACTACGAAGCAGATTGAAGAAATGGCGAGTGACCAAGCCATCCCGCCAGACTCGAAAGAAGAGTCTGGCTTCGGCAGAAGACTTAGACTCAGACAAGGACGCCAAGCGCAAGGCATCCACCATCCAAAGACCACTGCCATCATTATCAACGAGAGAGACACAAGCCCGCCATGAATGGCCCATGATACAACCCATCTACGCACAACCTCCCACCCTCCAACACCCCGTCCCAGACCGGGACCGGAAATGGAGCTCTCCTATGATCCAACAACTCACCCCAAGCCCCTCCGGCGAGCACATCCAAGACCGCACGACAGCCGTCTCCTATGCCGAGCACAGTCCAACAACAACATCCTTCGACCACACCCACACCTCCCCAGTCGGGGAGGGCCTTATGCTGAGCACAACCCCCGCCGTGGCCCCATCCTACCCAGCCTACCCACTCTCACCCGAATCGGGCCTTCCAAGCCCAGGCACGGCCACGACTCCCAGCAGCATTGGCTGGTCGCCTCGTGCCGTATCAGTCGACTACGGCCTCAACCCACCTCAGTGGTACTCTCTGCCCTTTGAAACCATCCCTCCCCCAGCCGTCTCTCAGTCTCCGGCTGCTCCAATGGCTCCTTCAACCAATGGATACCTCCCCCATGTCCAGCTCTACCATCCTCAGTACTACCACGGCGAGGCAGAGTACCCCCATGTCTATGATTCCAAGAACTGGAAGCGCACTATGTCGTTGCAATATGATACGGCTGGCCATCTGGCTGCCCGGGCCGAGCACGGCGATAGGAAGCAGATGCTCCCACAGATGCAGTCTCATGGCCAGTGGCATCCTATGTCACCGCCGCATACTCAGTCCGGTGGGCCTCATTCCTTGATGTGTGCTCCGATCATGCCTTATATGGGCCATGACCATTATGTGCAGAAGCCTCCAGGCATTGGATACTAGGTGCTAGCGTGCACTGGCACTCTTCTTTCTGTTAAATATGTATGATGTTTTGATACTTTTTTTGTGTGAACTATGGTGGTGGTTGTTTGTTTTGTCATACCCGATATGTTTGGTTTTGGGAGTTGAAAAGGAAACTGTATATCTTGATACCTTTTGATTAATTGAGCTTGATGCATCTTACTGTGTATATTTTGTACTACACATATCTATCAAATCTACGAATAAAGCAAGTGTTCTATAGATGCCAAGACCTGTGAGTTACCCGGGGAGGAACCTCGGCATCTTGCGGGGAAGCCCCCCATATCCCAGCCATAGCTCTTTTTATTTGTGACCTCCCCTTCCATCTCTTTACTCAAGAAGTTTAGAAACTGCCAACTAAATCCAAATCTACATTCTCACTACTGCCAAAATGCGTGCCGTCCAAGTCAGCGAATATGTCAAAGTACCTATAACCAACCTCAACCTCAACTCTAACCCAAACTAACAACATACTAACTATAGGGCCCCCTAGACCTAAAAGTAACAACAGTCCCAACCCCGACCCCAACACCCGACAAATACCTAATCGAAATACACTCGGCCGGCACAAACTTCTTCGACATCCTCCAGATCCAAGGCAAATACCAAAACCAGCCGCCGCTCCCTGGATCGGCGGCGCCGAATTCGCCGGAACAGTCCTCGCCGTGCCTACCTCCCCAAACAACCGCTTCAAGCTCGGCGACCGCGTCTTCGGCGCCACACAAGGAGCCTACGCCACACACGTCCTGGCCGCAGAGCAAACACTCCTCCGCGTGCCGGAGGGGTGGAGCTTCGAAGATGCAGCGGGGCTGTTTGTCACGGCGCCAACCTCTTATGGCGGTCTTGTTCAGCGCGCTGGCGTGAAGGCCGGGGACTGGGTCCTTGTTCATGCTGCTGCGGGCGGGGTTGGACTTGCTGCTGTGCAGATTGCCAAGGCTATGGGGGCGACTGTGATTGCTACTGCGGGGACGGAGAGGAAGAGGGAGATTGCTAAGGTTTTTGGGGCGGATTATGTGGTTGATTACACTAATAAGGCGTGGCCGGAGGTTGTGAAGGGGATTTGCAAGGAGAAGAGGAAGGGAAATGGGGCTGCTGGAGTGGATATTGTTTATGATCCTGTTGGGATGATTGAGGCGAGTTTGAAGTGTGTGGCGTGGAATGCGCGGTTGTTGGTCATTGGGTTTGCAGCGGGCAAGATTGAAAAGGTCGCGCTTAATCGGGTGCTGTTGAAGAATGTGAGTATTGTTGGCTTGCATTGGGGGCAGTATGCCAAGTTTGAGACGGAGACTGTTGGTGAGGTGTGGCGGGGGATCTTTGACCTTGTTAAGCAGGGGAAGTTCAAGGGAACGGCGTTCAAGGATGAGAGCTTTGTTGGATTGGAGAGTGTGCCCAGAGCTTTGCAGGCACTGGGTGGAAGGGAGACTTGGGGCAAGGTTGTTGTGAATATTGTTGGTGATGCGAAGAGCAAGCTGTAGTCTGGAGCATCCAGGACTACAGTAGATAGATATGTGGGAAAGCAATATATTGATTCGATATAGATATAAACTGATGAATGTAGATGCGCAAGGAGTCATGCTCTCGTAGACAAAGTAAAATCCCCAAAGGGAAAGACTCGAGCAAGTATAACATGAACTATGAAGGCCCTTTGCTTGCTCTGGCAACTTTCGTATTTCAGAAGTGAGCATGAACACCCGAAGGTACCCAGCTCGCAATCCAGCTCCAGTCGGTCACGGCTACAAGACGTAGCGCTGTGGTAACTGTTCTCCAGAAGGAGAGCCCTTGAGCATGTCCATATGGACTGGGACAGCTGGATTGAGGAGTTGCGGATGACAGCACGTGTCTGGGGTTTGATATATATCTGTGGTTGGGTTAGTGTAGAGTTTTATATTGATAGGCACCATAAATCAGAATAACATTAAATTCCGAGTAATGGTTTGAATGTCGAAAGATTGTCGAGAGGATGTCTAGGGGAAGTTGACGAAAAAAAGAGGAAAAAAGGGAAAATAAATAGCAATGACTCAGCATGTCTATACCGCCCATTTTCTGCCTCCTAGAGGATATCTACATGGAAAATACTCCGTACTATTGGCACAGTCGCTATTGTTCCAATTCCAAATGAAATGGATCGTTCTTCACTAGTAAACCTCAACAGACCTTAAAATTCTTTTTTGGTTAGCCACAGAAACTTCCACGAGAGTTGAAATTTTAAAGTGCAGAAGCTCTACTATTGGACTATACAAGAACACTTCCTGGAGACCAATGCGAAGTCATTATGTGCAGAACCCTTGCTAAAGTTTTTTGACCAATTGACGGTCTTTCTAAAACCTTTAGGCTACTGACAAGTAAGCTATGATTGGACCATTTCAGCTGCAGCCAGGATGTATATAATAGCCACAACTTTCCACACCGTCTTTCACCTTCTTCCATATCACACCTCAGCTCCCTCGATTTTATGAGCCTCTATCACTGAAAATCCAGCTTTGAACAATATCAAAGTCAACGATGGCTTGTGTAGTCAAGATCCTGGATGATCCTGTCAGGGACTCAATCACACAAGTGGACGCAAACACATGGCTTATCGGTCCCCTCAAACTCCATCGATCAAAGGGATATTCCGATACATCTACCTGGTACGACCAAGAAGACGATCTCAGTTACACTGTCACCAACGCACCTATCGGATCTCCGCCCCCAACCGTGCCGTTGCCAGCGGATGATCCGACAATCAAATTGGTGTATGATGCTGGGGATGGCTCTGCTGTCTGGTCTGTAGGAAACAGCGCGTTTTGCAAGGTCAAACTATCTGAACCGGGTATAACACCAGAGGCGGCAATATTGGCATTCGTCGATAGGCTCGTCTGTGAGAAGAAGCCTGGTTTTGAGGTCCCTAAGCTCCTACACCAAACAGAATACAAAGACCGGTATTGTCTGTTTCTAAGCAGAGTTCAAGGTCGAACTCTCGGAGATGCTTGGCCTACCCTAGACGAAAAATGGAGACATCACTACGCAAACGCCGTAGTGGATGTGTGCAAGTTTCTCGCGAGTCAGGAATGTGAGGAATTTCGTGGTGTGGACGGGAAGAACGCCCTTGAGCCGTTTCTCGTCAAATCCGGCGCGGAAGAGGAATACTCTCCTGATAATCTCCGGCAAATTTGTATATCAATGGGTATGGACTGCTCAAAATTTGTGTTCTACCATGCCGACCTCGGTTCTAGCAACATCATAGTGGAGGATATCCCAAAAACTGGCACTATCGGTGTTATTGATTGGGAGCTTGCTAGCTATTTTCCAAGGGGATGGATTCGAACCAAGTTTCGACTAAGCAGTGGAATGAATCTTGAAGATTCAGCTACGGACAAGCCAACTGAGTGGAGATCAAGGGTTAGCGTGTTGCTTGGAGAGAACGGGTTCGAAGACTATGCATCGCAATGGTTGTCCCGGTTTAATTGCTAGCGGGACTGCCATACTACTATAGGCAGAAGGATAGGTCTGCATCAAATATCAAACCGGGCTTTCTCGCGGATGCTCCTGAAGTCGTAGCTCTCATAGCCACTTGACAAGTCTCACGGAATACATGGGGGGTGTAGATAGTCAGCCGAAGACTCGTAGGTTTGAGTTATATGTTTCCATAGACTAGAGCAATAAGCTGTCTCTGCGTCATGGATGGATAATATTAAAGCATTCGAAGACTAGCCCCCGAAGACACGTCCGCGTCCCTGCATCATAAGACAATGTTAAAGATGGTGTCCTTGAGAAGGCGAACCGCCTATACAAACTTGACCAGGAAATTACGGCCAGTGTTTCCTAATGTATAGCAGTCAATCAATAAGCACCCCACAAAGCTGCTGAGATACCATCTAAAGAATAAAACTCATGGGCCGAGGCGCAAAAACTCTAGGGTATCTTTTGGAGTATCTTCTGGAGTATGAAGATGCTACCTCGACACCGACGGAACCAGGTAATCAAATCACCGAGCGATGAGCCAAGTTCTGCTTACTCAACTCGTAGCAAATACAGGGGTTCAGTACAATTGTCCTACCCAATAAAGAGTGACCAATTGGGTCCTTCTTCCAAAATCCAGAGAACAAGAACAACGTTACTTATATATAAAACGAAAGGATCAGAACTACGTCACATCCACATATACATACAAGTCAGTCACCACATGATCATTTTGCAGGTACCACCATGGCCCATGAAAACATATGGTTTCCCGATCCTTTCCAGAACTGCAAGATCTTGAGTCTGAACGAGCCTACCCCTTCCAACTGGGAAGTCTTCCAAAAGATCAACGAGCATGTCGAGCAATGGCAAGACGTTACCTGCCGCCTCCCCTCTCTGGCCTCCGCCAAATTCGTCTGTCGTGATGCCAGTGAATCTCCCAATGGACCCACAGCCTTCCTCCGTATCGTGAAGCAGATTCCCTCCCAGGTAGCCGAACAATTTACTCGAACCGAGCCAAAAGCATCCCAAGCCATCCGAGCTCAGGAAGCCACTCAATTTACTCCACCCGAGCTGAAGGCATACCAAGCTCTCAAAGACAGAAATTCGCCCAATACCCCTAAGCTCCTAGCATGGCAGCAAGGGACCCAGGATGCCTCTGGTACCGTCCCAGGTGGCTTTATCACATGGGTTATCTTTGAGGACATTGAGGGAATCGCCCTTGGGGATGAGAATGGGGCTGGCATATATTGGGAGCAGCCGCCGGAAACACGTGCAAAAATCCGCGAGGTCTTGATGAAGGAATACACGTAAGTCAACCCTATAAAAGTTTCCGTCTAGGAAAAACTTTGATTATTCCTATTTTTGGATCCCTCGACTTGGCCCCTATGCTTGCGCATGCCTCGTTGAACTCCTGATTTAAAGCTGTTTATTGAGGAATGATACTAATACATAATGATTAGTGAAGCCTCTAAGATTGGAATCTTACCAATCCATGACGGCCCTGGAAATTTGATATGGAACGCGGAAAGGGAAACGATGTAGGTTTTGCATAACACATTGCGAGGATATGATGCGAACTTGGTTGTTAACATTTTATATTCAGTCATTTCGTGGGATTTGAAGACCCAGAATTCTTCCAGCGCAAGGGTCGGGTGACAGCCAAAATATTCCCCCGCTATGGTCTAGCTAAGACTCCCCCTGGTGACCGGTGGTGGGAATATGAGGTGAACAAAGATCCGGATACCTCGAAATGGACCTTCTAGTCATACTTTTTGTTTGGGTATCTTCAAATTGGCCTCTTCGTTTTCGTTTTTCGGTGCTGATGCTTAGAGACTTGAGATATCATGTGACATTAGACTATTAGGGAAGGCGCATTGGAGGGCAAGTGCCTGTTCTAGGAAGGGAGTGGGGGTATAAAAGAACTTCTCCCACCTTTCTTCCTCTTCTCTTCTGCCCCTCCCCATCTCTCTGACCACCATCTCACCGTAGCCCCATGAGACAGCGTAGGCAGAGGGTGCCGTAGCACATGCTGCTTCACCTACCACAGGGACCATAACATTACAATGTTTGTTATGAGGTCCATGTAGGTCTGCATCAAATAACAAACTGGGCTTTCTCGTGGATGTTCCTGAAGTCGTGGCTCTCATTGCCATTTGACAAGTCCCACGGAATACATGTAGATAGCCATAACCGAGTACTCTTAGGTAGTCAATAGTCATCTAGGCAGTAAATCCATTACAGTCAAAGACAATCAGCTTTACGGTAGTTATATTTTAATTCACACACATTTGATTCAATTAATCTATGGGAAACTCTCTGCAAGATAGCCTAAAGATCGTGACCATCAAGGACATAGTGCAGATGCAGATGAAGAAATCCCAAACACGAAACATGGAACTGAGAGGAGAGGAGAAAGAATCATAACATCATGGTACTCGTTCATATCATAGGTAGATGTCAAATGAGTTGGCGTTAGTATCATCAATCCCGTAAAGCCCATCACACTCAATGATGCCGCTCACACATTTCAACGACAGTAGTCCAACCTTCGCAACAAGACCGGCTCATATTATGTCCACACCAGCAGCAGGTCACCTTGCGGGGTAGAAGAGGCGCAGGCCGTAGATCGGGCATGCCTTGGGTAGCATGTGCAGCTGGTAATTGACCGAATGGCAGCGATCGTGAGCCTGTCAACTTGCGGGTACCGGTGTCGGGTTGTGTTTTGGAGCGCGATCGGTCCACTTTGGAATCTGAGACCAGACGCTCGGGGCAGGCGAGACGCGCGTAGACTTCGGAGGGTAGGTCGTGCCAGTACTTGCAGCGGCAGCAGATTACGAAGATCTTGGTGAGGGTTTGTGGGCTGTGGGCTGTTTTCGCTTTTTGGGATCTTCTTTTGAGGATGCTCATGGGAGCTGGTCGGGCTTGGGGGCTGCCGGTTTGGGTACCTGTGGGGCTGCCGGGCTGCATGCCGGGATGAATGCCAGATTGAGGGCCATACTGTATACCGCGATAAGTATCGGGGTGAGAGGCGGGCTGCTGGATGGGCTGCAAGACAGGTTGGTTGCCAGGTTGGGTACTGAGCTGAATGCTGGGTTGGGTGCTGGATTGGATGCCAGATTGGATGCCTGGCGATGTGTTGGGTTGAATGAGTGGACTAACGGGAGCCTCATGCACGACTGGCGCTTCGACAGCAGAAATTGCAGGACTAGTATCCACGAGATTCAGCGAATCGCGTTTGAATTCAGAGGATTCAGGGGCATCTTCGTCGGCAGTGTCATAATTTGAATGACCGTCATGGGAGGAGTTTTGTGAAGGACAGCGGCTATGTCCTGGTATGAGCCCTCTAGGTTCTCCAGCAAGAATATTATCCTCTGGGGGTCCGGTGGAAGCGTGAGAATACCGACGGGGAGATTTCGCAGGAACAGTGTTACTATCCGACAGATCCTTGGATGTTCGGCTGTTTCTCTCACCGGGCGAAACACTTCCTGCATGTACTGGAGATCTGACGGGTACCTGGCAGGGAGACGCCGGGATGTCTTTGACCGTATCGGTTGACGCGGTTGGCATTCCCCGAATCTCGAGACTCCGTCTTTCACTCTTGACTGGAATCGGTGGCAGTTCGACCGACTGCGAAGTTTCGTGGAAGTTTTCTTTGAAACGGCTTGAGGTTCGTTTGGGGGTATTCGACAAAGCGGTAGGCAATCGACTTCTTCCTCGATCCTCGGGATGAGATTGACCAGGAGAGTGTAATGGCTGGGATGGGTTCTCATGGTTAGGTTTGTGTATTGTCAGGGATCTTGGAATCTTGAAATAACTCTGGGCCGATTCATCGGTATTTGCAGGATTCAACGCGAGGGGAGACGACTTGTATGCTCGCGGGAAGGGATCCACTCGGTTCATCCTGGCAAGGTTTCCCGTGGAGTTTGTTTGTGCTAGGCTGAGTGGTTGGTAAGACTTGGCACCAGATAGAGTTGACGGATTGTCTGGAGTTTCTGGAGGTGTCATTTCCTGTAACTGACGAGCCGTGGTAACTTGAGTAGGCGAATCCGAATGACCGGGTGAATATAAGTTAGGCTGGCTCAAGCATTGCGACATTGGCATACTAGTAGCCCTGACAGAACGGTCTTGACGAGTCACACGATCACCGGGATATTCTGCCCCGGGCATACTCTTCCTGTCATGCTTCAGCGCTGCAGAAAACAGCTCCTTATCCAGATCGCCGGAGGACACTAGTGTCTCGCCGTTTCTAGCACAGTTTCCAACCACGGACCGAGTAACAGTGGGAATCTGCTCCGACACTGATCGATTGGATTCATGTCCGTCCTTCGTCCTCCAGGCTTCAGCTGTCTTCCAGGCTTCAGCCATCTTCCAGTTCTCACGAAGGTCATCAGACTTCGCCGTGGCGTGCAACCGATTGTGCTGGGTTGGGTTGGACATTTTGTTCGAAGCGGATAGGTTCAGTGCGGTGCCATGCTTGGACTGTAGCTCTCGGGTGATAGCCGTTCCAAACCTTTCCGGTAGAGTCAAAGGAAGAGATGGTGGGTTCGTATCCGTCCTAAGCTGGTTAAACTCGGCAGACGGATCTTGATCACTCGAACGTGAATTCCGGCGTGATCGCCGGAATATCGAGGACAGGCTACTTGACGATTTCGGACGCTCTGCATTCGCACTGGAGCTTCTGCTTGAGCTGCTCACTGGTTGTTTCTTGGTCAGACGGTGAGAGTTTCTGTCATGGATTCCGATATCGCCCTTGGATTGGGATTCCTCGAGGGCTAGCAACCGCTTCTCGAGTTCTTTTCTCTCGGCTTCTAGGCGCTTTGTGACACGCTTTTCTTTTTCTTTCTTCTTGGGTCTTTCCAAGGTTGGTTTGGAGATATTGTCTCCCTCTCCGTTGGGATGGATTGGCAAGGGCGTCTGTTGGGTCGGGGTATCATCCTCCACAGGTGCCCCGTTTGCGACTGATAGACTTGAGCCAGGTGTACCGGTGGAGGGTAAACGAGAGTTAGAGGAGTAAGAGACCGAGCTCGGCCCTGTCTCATCGTACAAGGAGTGCCTCGCATGGGAATTACTATCGGCCTCATGTGCGAGAGCTTCGCGGGCGAGAAAGGGAACTGGGGGAACAAATCCACTATTCTGATTGTGTCGTTTCTTCGAGGGGTCAAATGAGATTCCTAGACTCCGCCATATTGCCGTTGTTAACTTACATCCATAGATTTGCCAAAGACGCGGTGGATGTGGTTAGAGATGGATGATCGACGGGCCCTGCGGGGTGGATCGGTGGGGAAGGTCTCCATTGCAGTTGGTTCAGTTGACTTTGATCTGAAAAGAAGCGAGTGACATTGAACTGGAAAACAGTCTAGAAATCGAGGGATCGTGGATTGTGGATCGTGAAACGTGAAACGTGAGAGATGTAAGGCGTGAGTCGTGAATCGCAAGTCAAGCAGAGAAACAAAAACGAGAGACAAAAGGCCAAAGGCCAAAGAACAAAACAAAACAAGAAAGCGAAGGAGAAAAAGAAAGGAAAAAAAAAAGAAGCGATGATCAGTCAAAAAGCAAAGGATTCCAAATCCGCTAGCATTGGCTGCATGTGAAACCTCCCACCGAGCTATTCTTAGTATTTTTTTTTTGGTCATCTGATCTGTAGATTTATAGATTGTGATGTATACAATTTCTATACAATCCTATATGTAAATCAATGAACATGAAGAGAATCATCCAAATCTGCGCTCGGCCCAGTTCCAAACTCATCGAATTGTGAAACTCAAAGCGTCCGAGGCCCAAAGAAGTTGGAGAGTCACACTCGCCCCCCACTTCGCATCAACATCGAAATCTCACCTCTACATCTCCCCGAGAACAACTAAAGATACTCTGCCTAATCAGCCTTAAACTGCTATCGGTTACTCGGTGCTACAACTACAGAGAATACAAAGCTAAGAAGCTACACAATGTCCAACCAACCCCACAACGACCTCCCGCCAAGCTATGATGCATCACAACAATCCTGGGGGATCTCCGGCACTAAGCCACAGACAGGCCCTTCAGCCTCAGCAAACCCACCTCCATATCACAACTGGCAGGAAGCAGTCCCAGACACAGCCACATTTCCACCACCCCCAATCACCGGCTACCTAATCTCAGGCACAGGGAACGCCTCCGAAGACGACGCCCAGCGCGCCCACGATTTCTGCAACTCTGTGCCCCTCTGGCTCCCAGCTCAGCCCTCTCCGGCCGTCTACCACGACGTGCAGGTCCACGATCTTCGGCCCGTGCAGCCAGCCGAGCTGCGTGGCCATGTCTCGGCTGTTGCGCGCGGCCGCTGGCGAGGACACAGTGTCGACAGGAACGGGGATTGTGTCATTCTTACCCAGCTGCCCATGTATTTCCCTGCTGCGGACTCGCCGTTTGTGCGCGAGCAGAAGAAGACCATCTACTTTGAGGTTAAGTTGCTGGCGCTGAGGGCGGGGCCGACGCCGCAGGATTGTAGTGGGTTTTCGATTGGGTTTGCTGCGCAGCCTTATCCGTCGTGGAGATCGCCTGGCTGGGAGAGAGGTGGACTGGGGGTGTTTTCGGACGATGGGTGTCGGTTTGTGAATGATTCCTTTGGGGGTCGGGACTTTACGACGGCGTTCAAGGTGGGTGAGACGGTTGGGTTGGGGATGGAGTTTGAGCTACCGGAGAATATCTGCAGTGGGGATAAGCGGAGTAAGAGCTGCAAGGTGCATATCTTCTTCACGCGGAATGGACGCCGATCTGAGAGTTGGGA